AAAAACGTGAAATTTTTATTCTCCTCCTTTTTTTTACCATTCTTTTTGAATGTTTGAATTCGTTTTAAATTATTTATTTTCAATTTTATATATATATATATATATATATCAAGAATATTGAAATTCAAATGATGTACGAGAATTATTACTAATATCTTAATTAGTTAAACTATGTTCGAAATTATAATGAGTTAAAATAGGTTCCAATTTAGATTAATTTTGAAGTTAAACGATAAACTAGTGTTATACCTTAGTTGTGTTTTTTTTATTTTTCTTATTTAGGGATTTGTGACTTTATATTTTGCTACTTATCCAACTAAATTGAACTGTAAATTTCAATAATTGGGCAAATATGGGCCAAACTCAATTTATTAAGATGTTAGTAGTATTTTTTAGAGGTAGTAGGATAAAATCTTTTGTATCATTTGATTTAAATGCTCTAAAATAATAGAATATGTTTGATCAAGAAAATGATCAAACTCGATCGCAAAGCGAGGACTTCCATTACCGACATTCGAAGGACTTGCAAAATAGAGTTAGTACTCTGACGCTCTAATTAAAACACAATCTAATTTATACTTGAGAGAGAATATGGTTTTGCATACCTTACGTGAGAGGTGGGGTTTTCTATATACAAAGGCGAGCTCCCGACATGACTTTCGATAGTACTCCAACAGTACTCCAACCACCTAGGATTGTGGTGCCCTATCGGAGAACATGACTATTACCTTTGAGCCTACAAATGCTCTTTAGGGTCGGATTGTACTTGATAAGGGTCGGTTTGTAGATGAATTATGGCTCGACTCAACTTCTTGATTGTCGAGCTACCTACATTTGTCCAAATGAAAAAACTCATTTCACTCCTCTCATCATCATGGTAGTTTGAAGATCTTTGATGTTGACATGTGGCAGGTGGTAATTTACCCACAACATAATAGGTGGTAAAGATTAATACATCAAGACAGCTAAATTAAAGAAAATAAAAAAACAATCACAAAAACGGAGGGTAAAAAACACCCCATAGTAACCAAAATGTCATGACTTCGTTAAAAAGCATCCATTACGATGGTAAGACAACGGTATGATAATACTCTCAACTAGTTTATTGTATCATTTAACTGACAATTATATTAAGTAACTTGAATATAGTTAAATTAATTAAGACATATATTTTCAAGTTAAAAGATAGACATGTTGTTTCATTTTATTTTTTTGAATAAAATAAATTAAAAATATGAGGTTTGAACCATGTTGGTTGAATTAAAACAAAATAACTGTCATAAATAGACAGCAAGAAATTTAGAATTAAAAAAATAGAATAGTTTAAATCAAACTTCAACTCAAATAATAATAAAAAAAATGGTAAAGCATATTTAAAAAGCGATTTTTTTTTTAAATTTGTTAAATTTTATGATATGGATAGTAAAAATTTCCGTTTTAATAAATTGATGGATAGTCTTAGGATAAAAGCGATTTATTTTATAGAAAAACGCTTTATATTCACGAATTTGGTTATAGTTCAGCTAATTTAAAAATATATTGTCAATTTTAATTGATAAAAATATATATTATTGTTAACAAACAAAACTAGAGGTTTGAATTTTATATTGTTGGACTAAAAAACCATTTTTCATTGGGATTGTTTTGTTTACACGAGTCACAAAGGCAACGCTGGACGCCGGTGATCACGGGGATGTGTGGACACGTGGCCCATTCTCGAGGGACCATCAAATTATGATCATGTGGAAGCACGTGCAATCTGACAATTAATAGTGGGGCCCTCCACGTGATGTTCCCTGGACTTCTCAATCCTACAAGAAACGACACCGTTCAGTGCACGTGCTCCATGCATCACCACCCATTAAACGGCGCCACGCGGTGACAAAATGACACCGCCGTTTCACAACCCCTGTGTCACCGTCACAGCCGCTGGATTTTTCTATTTTTTTTTCCGAAACGAAAAACAGCCACCAGATTTATGTCTGTTACAAACTTACAAGTTTGTTTCTTTTTCAGGAATTTTTACAACCTCATACTTCTCAAAATAATAAAAATTAAAAAAAATCATAAAATTTTAAAATAAAATTACAAGCTCAAAATTTATGATGTTTTTTCCACCTAAACGAAAGCGAAGATTTGAATATACAACTTTTAAGAGAAGTAGAGTACATTAACTAAAAACAAATGAATGAATATATGAATATATGGCAAAATGCTAACAGACTTATTCCAGGTTAATTATCCGATTGATTTACCTTAATCCCGATGAATTAACTTTCTCTTCTTTTGATAATTTTTATTGAGAAAAAAGTAATATTTTCCTACGATTATCTTTGATTCATAGGTTATTTATTTCTCCCTCACTTTGCCTTGCCCCACACCCTCGTCCTCCGACAAAGATATTGGAGTGACCTCTCCTGCAAGACAAATCTACTTCTTTTCTGTTATGAATATTTTCACTTTTTGTTAAAGGTGCAAAGAGATTAAATAAATAAATAAATAAATAGATTTAGGTGTTTTTTTTTTAAATATTCCTAGGAGGTTCGGGTCAGCTTGCGCACACCTCCACTAATCTCATGGGCAATTGTATAATCTTGCTACATTTAGTTGCAAAAAAAAAAAAATCGTAGGATATTAAATTATAGGTAAGCGACCACCATGATTTGAACCTATTCTCTATGAATTAAGATAAGTAATCATGATGGACACCGATATAGTTTTGCTTAAGATGCTATAACGGTTAAGTTAAAGAACTTATTATATGAGTGATGGAGAGTAAAATACAACATGTCACGTAGAAAACAAAGAAACATCGAATAAGTAGATCTTTCCCCATTGTCTCGGAAACACTAAGTCACCGACCTATATGTAGCTCGATCAACGATGACATGATAATTCGGTTAATCCATTGTTGGTCAAGTGAAGGTCATACACCGAGGTCAAAAGCACAATAGTCTGTAACCGCGTGACAAGTTCTGGAACAGTTTAACGTAATAATCACGTGGGACCCACTACCCCTCACCCTATAAATATATAGAATCATCATTCTAAACCCAAGTATGTAATATCATTCATCGTCTCGAGAGCTTAGATTAGACCCTAACTGACTTGAGCGTTAGAGTTTGTTCCTTTTCAGCATGTCTTTCCTCACATAGTTTGCTCTGGATAGCTTGGTTATACCAAACCCGTATCTATTCTCTAGATAGTTTGGAATCCACTATAAACAACGCGATTGAAAAAAGTTTAGAGGATAGCATATAGAACGAAAGTTTGTGTACCTTCAACGGTGTGTCTTTTAGAATAATTGAAGACTTTTTTCATAGTGATTATCCAACCATCGATTATGATGATAGGATGTTAGAAGTTCAAAAAATTTAGTTAGGGCAAGCCAATTTTTATACAAGGCTTACTAAATGTGGCGATTGGTTGATGTCATTTGAGTTCGTGTGTTCAAATAAACCATCCGGCGTAAATTACCTCAAGATGAAAATATTCTCTAAAAGAGATTGTCCTACCGGAGATAAATTGGGTGAAGTGCTCAAAAGTGTTCGAGCTTGACCCGTAGAGATCTTTGATAAATTTGGTAATAATAAAAAATGGAGTGAACACATGAGTTTATACATTATATTTATTCATTATTTTTTTAACAAACTTTTGAATCAAATACATTAAATTATATCACATAATTTTGAAGAAGAAAATAAACTATGAGAAAGTGAAATGACAACATATATAGAGGAGGCATAAAAAGCAATGGAGGGGACATGATTAAAGAGAGATAATGGAGTTTGTCCTGAAGTAACCTAATAATTTTAGAGATCAAATAAAATAAAATTCCGTTGATCTTTGTGACATGTATGGAATAAAAAACTATTTGTATAATTTGCAATTTGTCATTTGGATCTTTATAATAAGGTTGGCATGCAATCAAAATCTTGATGACATTGCTAGATTGTGCTTGCTCCATTTGGTATATATTGTTTTTTATGGGTCTCATTTAAATGTTTTTTTTTTATTTTAAAAAAAATATGGAGTGCACTTCAATTTCCTCCGCCCTTAAAAATAGTTAGTAGTTTCCTTTTTTAAAGTTTTTAATTTTATTTTAAGAATAATGTCGGGTGACAATAAAAATAAATGTTATTGTATAATTAAAATTATTACTCATATTCTCGTAATTCTGAAAAGAAGAGCGAGATGAGATTATCACTCATCATAATTAAAAAAAATTTCATTTAAAAAAAATAGTACATTCTTAGAAGTTGTTAAATTATGGTTATGTTTTTTTTGTCTTTTATTTTATCATAGTCCATTTGAAAATAGTTGAATTGGTTTATGCATCTATCTTCCATCAAGGAGTGTGAGTTTGAGTCCCCACTCCTACAAATTTGTATTAAAAAAACCGTTTATTTTCAAAAAATAAAATAAAATAAAAACATAATGTTTGATGAATTAACATTTCTAAAATTCTAATTAGACCCACGAAAAGGAGGAAAGAAAAAGCATGTCCCATTTCATCGAACAAACATGAATGGAGAAGGGGGTGTGAATATATCAAGATCACGAGAGATTTTATTTTAAAGAAGTTAAAATCAAAATTTTTGAGAAGGAATAAAATATAAACAAATTATTTTGAAAAATTAAAACATCAAACCATAGACCCGAAATCCTATAAAAAATCAAATTTATGTCAAATTCTAACAATCAAATGAGGGGTCATTGGAAAAAAATGCAATAAGAAACGAATGAAGAATGGTATGTAGTTGTAAATATATATAATATTTTTTGATACAATTAGTTGTAAATATTTGAGTATTAATAATATATTATTAAATATTTTCCATCCACGGTATAATTTGGACCATTTTTATACTTGTAAGAATTGCAAAATTTCCATCTTTTAAGTCTCACATAGCCCTTTACTAAAAAAAAAAAAAAAGAAAAAAAAACTCACGTGGCCCACTCGTTAACTTCATAATTGGGCCGGTTAAAATGGGCCGATAATGGGCTTCCAATTACTAGCGTTGACTATTCAGTCAACGTCATTCGTCTTCGTTCTCCAGAATCCAGATACTTTTCAAAATTGCAGTTCAACTTTGAACCCTACGATCGAATTCCTGTTTTCTTCCTTGCTTTCTTCAGAAGCATATGGTGCGTGGTTAGGGATCATCGAAAGATGCCATGGAATTCCTTGGAGTCTTCTGTTAGGTAAGCTATGTCTTAGTTTGCTCCGCTGATCCGAACTCTTTGTCCAGCTTCTTCTTCTTGTTTCTAGTTTTTAGTTACTCAGCTGATCCATGGTATCTGATTTTACTTTAGCTTTCGTTTCTAGGAACTAGAGTTCGATGTCAGTGCAAAGAGAAGAAATCTTATTGTTCTTTTTCCTTTGACATTATGAAGACTCAGTTTCGCCTTTCGGTTGGATTCTTTCTGGTGCTGCTTATTTTTTACTGCACCTGTGTTGATTCGAAGGTACGAGGGGTTCATTTCGATTCTGTAGGGTTTAATTTACTATTGGATGTAGACCGTGTACTATTTCTGTTTAGCGTCTCGTTGGCGATGGATTTAAATGTAGGTGGAAGAAAGTGCAAACACCAGCCTAGATTCGAAAACACTCAATAAAGGAAATGATGGAAGCAAGAAGACTGGGTCTAATATGGTTCTCGATTCTGTTGCTGCTGGTAAGGAAAAGAAGGATGGGCATCAAGTAAGCGTCTTAAAGGAGGGCGGCGTTCAGAGCAGTGGGGATAGGATTAAGAAGAATTCTGAAAGTGAACCAGCATTGGAAGAAGGTCCAAATAAAGTAAAGAAGGCCGGTGGTTTAGTTGAGGAAGGAAAGAATAATGGTAATAAAGAAAAGGGGAAGCCGGCCGATAGTTCAGTTCCAAAGGAAGTGTCTAAGAGTAGTGGGAAGGACGGTGATATAGTGTCTTCAGCATCGAAAAAAAAGGATGGCTCTTGGGGTGAGGACTGTGATTCATCTAATAAGTGCACTGATGAGGGAAACAAGCTGGTTGCTTGCTTACGAGTTCCAGGAAATGGTATGTATGCTCTCAGTATTTTTTTATTTTTTATTTTTGTAATGATCCCAGCCCAATTCTAAATATGCATTATGATTGAATAAGTTCCCATATCCTTGATTTGAAATGTGGGGCATGCTGAGTGGGATGAAAGTTAGTTAATCTCTATCACAGCATAACTTGAAATCAGATTGCATGCATTAGTAGGAAGTTGTATGTGTAATTGTTTCTTGGAAGTTAAAACGTGTATGTAGCTCTGGACAACACACATTGTTCAAGTACAATAATCTTGTCTGTTTTGATAATTTAGTTATTTTTGGTTAGTTCTATTTCATAATTTTATGTTGTTTTAATTAATTTTGAGAATTATATTACTAGAGAGTTCTAGGTGTATGAATAGACTTGTTTGTTTCTTTAATCTTTATTCTACTTTGATTACAACGCCTGGTAAAATTATAATTTAGCCACAGTTTATGGTACGGTTGAGTTAGAGCTTTAATTGCTATAAATGCACATGCTGTATTGGTCTTCATATTTCATGCAATTACGAACTGAAGACTTGGGAAAATTTTCTTAAAGAAACACTTTTCGTGTTGTTTTCCCCTGCGATCATTTTGCCATCTTCTAATTTAATAACAACACATTTTACGTAGAAAACTTAAATCTTTCAAATTAGCCTAGTTTATTCATGCAAGGTTTCTTGTTTGCTTTCAACCTCTTGACATCTGGGCTCCTTTACGAATGTGCATCAACCTATTGATATATAGTGCAGAAAATCTGATCAACACTAAAGGATTAAGGGAGTTTCTTCATATCAAATGTATAATTAGGATTGTTGGTTTAGATCCTTTTTTGTGATGACCTAATGGGATTGCTAGGGATTGAAATTTTACACATGCTTAGTATACTTGAACCTAACATATTTCAGCTGTAATTACTTTTCTTATTGCACTCTTTGGCATAATAAAGATCTCTGATTATAAGTCATCTATCCTTTTTAGTGATATATATATATATATATATATTTTCAAATCTTACGTTCTTGTTTGTATTCAATTTTTCAGATTCTCCCCATCTTTCGCTGCTAATCCAGAACAAGGGGACAGGTCCTCTTACTGTGAAAATTTCTGCGCCGGATTTTGTTCATCTAGAGGAGAAAGAAGTTCAACTTCAAGAGAAAGAAGATAAAAAGGTATTTAAAACACTACGATTAATGATTAATAAAAAGCAGCTTTTAATGATGGGATGTTTAAGTTAACGATTGTTATTTCGAATGAAAAGATTAATGACTAATCAATTCCCAATCATTTCTTCCTTTGTACTTATTGCTGGGCCTTTCCCTATTATATTATATGTCAAATTTTCATGCACCAGTTGTTTTTCTTTAAGGCAAGAAAGACGGATGATAAGACATCCTCCTAACACCTTCAAACTCAAAAGTCAAAACCACACCCCTTCACCTTTCTGAAATGACTCCAATTTAGAAATGATTAGTTAAGAAGGTTCCTTTTTTTTTTTGAATTATTAATTATTATTATTATCATTTTTAAAAGTAAATTTATCTCTCTAGTTATTGCAGATTCTATGAAAGCGCAGGAATAAATGGTTTTTGCTACAGCTTATATATTTTTCTTAAGGTAAGAATAGGAGGGTTCGTCCCACCCCAGGGAAGATTCAAATAAGTGATCATTAAGTACTGAGAGAATACTGAAATGGGATGATAATATGTATTTTCCCTAGAGGAGCCAAAGGGTTAACTGATAGGCTTTCCTTGACTTCAATTAAAAAAAAAGGAACAAAAATTCAAAAAGATTTGGATGTTTTATAAAAAAAAGGTTTGGAGGTAGAAGTCCATTTAGGGGTCAAAGCTGCTGTAATGCTGTTAGTTCAATAGAGTGAAAGTCGTTCTTGTTTCTGAACTTCCAAAATAACCATGCTTCCACTTTAAGTCTCTAACCAAGGCATCAGTATCGTACCCTTAGAACAATTGGCTTAGGTTCAAGACAAGCAGAAAAGTATAGATTTATGATGCTATAAATATTGTAATTCGAGGGGAATATGACATCACTCATCACCTAAAGTTGAAAATTTTGAAGTTTTACTGCACTTTCATATAAAACCACAATTTAGGGCAAAAGATCTTCATGCCTGTCGCTGTTGTCATTTCGAGTGAAAGTATACTTTAAGAGACTTGTTGGGTGATTAAAGGTCTCTTTTATTTTGGTCTCTTTTATTTTTCTGACACATTAAAGAAGATAAGTAATTCCTTAGTTTACCTCTAGCATCAGTTACTCAGTCGGTCAGAACAACCATAATTTTGTACAAGGTGATGTAAAGATTTCTGAGGTCAGATTGGCATTATGCTTTTCTTTGGCACTCTAGCCAACGGATTCTCATTGAAGACATAGCCAACGAATTAGCCCAACATTTAAAAATTTCAACATGCTTAGTAGTTAGTAGTTAGTAGTAATGTTGAATAGCTGCTAATTGTAAGATACATGAGCTGAACTTTCAGCTGAAGAAATTTTCATAGAGTTTAGCTGGTCTCCAAATAATTTCACTTCGAAATGTTTGGCTGTTTGTAAAATGCTCAGCTCATACGGTTATGTCGCATGGACTTGTAAATTTTCTAGGATTTATGGTTACTTGATCAAATTATGCAGGTAAAAGTTTCGATAGGTGATGGAGGAGATGGCAACATGATTGTTCTGACTACAGGAAGTGGCCATTGTAATCTCGACTTTAGGGATCTGATTGCGCACAATACTGCTAATGATTCTGATGATCTTCCAAAGTCCTCACGGTCCAGCTACCTCACAAAACCACATATTGTTGCAATCTTAGCCTTTGCTGTAATTCTGACCATTGCAGCTGCTTCAGTGTGCATTGGCATCCGTCGGAAGAGTTTCGTAAGTAGCACTTCTAAATATCAAAGGCTGGACATGGAGCTCCCCGTTTCCCTCGCAGGCAAATCTGTTGCTGACAATAACGATGGATGGGAAAACAGTTGGGATGACAATTGGGATGATGAGGCACCACACACACCTTCCCTGCCTGTCACTCCAAGTCTTTCGTCGAAGGGCCTGGCCTCACGACGCTTGAATAAGGATGGCTGGAAAGATTAGTTTCAATTAGCTTCACGCATACAAACATGTAGAAGAAATAGCTCGAGCAAGAATCCGATCATCTGGAATTTTTTAGTCAAGGATTTCATCATACAAGGTACACCCATCTCCCCTGTTTTTACTATAGCCACGCCATTTTAGACCAACAAGCATATGTTATTGTATTTGCATCCAACTTCTGTAATTATTATCGCCCTTCTATTTTGGGTAGGAGAGGGATGTGGAGGATCAGAACCTCATATATATTCACTTCTCGTAAAGTTTCTACAATTTTTATCAAGGATACCAGAAGAAACTCTCTATTATATATTTTTTAAAGAGTAGTTTATTACCACGCCAACATTTTTTCTGTCTTTTAAAAAATTTCATTGCATTTGATTGTAGGTTCGACAAAAAGTTGTTCGATAAAATTAATGTATGCTTGGAATTAGTGAATTTAATTTGATCGTGTTTGAAGAGATGTGATATTATGAATTATTGAGGCCAACCTGAACGTAGCTCCACGGTATACTTGATCAAAAAGTTGGAAGTTCAAATCTCCATCTGTTGTCGGTGAACTAAAAAAGAAAGAATATGCATATTGATAATAGTTATACATTTGCAATCGCTATTAAAAAAATTATTGATATCTTGTTTTGGGCTTTTAATATATAACCTAAGCATATCTCGACCAATAACCAATAAAGACAGGTCGGAAGTTTCGAATCTCAACTCTTATTATTAATCACCCAATAGTTTTCAATGACTATTGAATTCTATTGTGTCTACTTTCTACTTTCTTGAATGAGTGTTGGTCTTCCCAATCTAATTGTCCTTTGTCCTTTACTTGCGTAGCAGGATCTGGAAGGGTCTATTTTGGTGTGATATATAATATATTATCAATTTTAGTATAAATTTGGGTTTTAAATGATATGATTAATAAAAGAAAAGTAGAATGAAAGGAGAACTCATATTACTTTATCGAAGGGAAATTTTCAATATTCCATATATGAAAGATCAATTTTGTAATCTTACACCATTTATATTTAGTCATGTCATCATCTAATTTTAATTATATTTTCTAATCTTCGACTTTAAAAATGTAGGGTAGAGAATGAGAAATTTGATTGATCTAATATACTACAAATATTTAATTGATACTAATGTCATAATTATATCTTTAAATTACTATTTCATTTACTTCTAAAGTTTTAAAATAAATGACTTAAAAGATCCAAACTAAACTAAACTAACTCAAATATTACATGATTATTAATTACAGTAACACCTTGGTAGAATTGAAAAGAAGAAAGAGAAGATAGAAGGAAAGCGACAGTCAAAGTAGAAGAAAGAACGGCTCAATTAGAAAACTCCACGTGTACTTACAAGTTGCGTCGGTGACAAAATTCGGCTAAGTGACTGCCAAAGTCAAACTTACCCTAAAATGAGGGCATGATGGAGAGGAAGACAACCAAATACCCAAGTATTATATAAAATATCTTAAAAAAAATTAATTCTAAAGTATTTTTCAATGGTTTAATAATATCCACTCTGGCATTATAGGTTTCAATTATAATTTTTTTTTTCTTTTTTGATCAAGTTTCAATTATAAAGTTAAAGAGGCCGTGTGATAATTATTTTATTTGACCTTTTGTTTTTAAAAGGTAAACTTAAAAATACTAAATTCGCATATGTGTTTCTTTAGTTTTTATAAATATTTTTAAATATTTAAGCCAAATTTTTCTTAAAAAAATTTCAAAAATTTTGTTTTTGTTTTTGAAATTTAGTTAATAATTTAAATACGCTTTCAAGAGTGGTGAAAAATTTACTAGTGAAATTGTAMAAAAACAAGCATAATTTTTAAAATAAGAAAACTAAAAACGAAATGGTTATCAAATAATACCTAAATTATAAGTTTTATCTACTTTTAGAGTCGTGTCTAATAGGTTCTTGAATTTTCAATTTTATATTTAATAGAAAAATTTAAAAAACAATAGGCAATAGACTTATCAAACACAAAATTGAAAGCTTAGACTTTAGAGACCTGTTATACATAACATTGAAATTTTAGAGATTTATTAGACACGTTTCGACTTAGTAAACATTACCCTAAAAGCTCAGCGACTAACTTATAATTTAACCTAACCAATTTTAAATTATACATTTTTGGTATATATTATTTGATATCATTAACAAAAAGCTAACATGACATACTCATTAGAAAAATGTCAACTAAGTTTTAAAAGTTGAATGACCATATGATTATGAGACGGACATAAACCTAAATGGGTTTATCATTTAATTAATTTTAATTAATAATAAAATTAGAAGTGAAAGAGGTGAGGTGGCAGTGGCAGTGGCAATGGAGTCGCTCTCAAACCCATTTGGAGGAAAGTGATGTTTTTCTTACTGAAATAAATGCAATCTGCCATTATTGTGTGAGTTTTCTTTTTCCCTTTCCCTTTTCTTTTAATCTTTTTTATTTTTCTATTTTATTATTTTTGGTTGTTAGTCGCTCCAATTATTTCTATTCTATCTCACCAAYGCCCCCATTTTAATATTTTTCTTTTCTTTTTCTTTTTTCTTGGGAGAGATCAAAAGTATAATCGTAACATAACATAATAATGTGAAATTTTATTTAGTTAAATACTATTTTCGTAATTGTATTTTTTTATTTTGATTATTTTAGTCTTTAGTTTTGTTCCTATACTTCCAACTTTGGCTCAATTTAATATTTGTACTTCAAAATATTCGTTTTGGTCTTGTATTTTTAAAAGTGACAATTTTATACATTGTTTCTTTTTTTTTTTTTGAGAAATAATTTTAGACATTGTTTGTAAAATTTTAACACAAATTTCTATAACAACGTAAACCTTTTAATATAAAGTTATAGTTTACATTTTTAAAAATATATTAAGTGCAGTGTGGTGTTGAAATTGTAATAGAATAAATGAGATAAAAATAAAATGAATGGAAAAAACGATCACTTTTTAAAAGTACATCAACTAAAATGAATTTGAAAATATAGAAACTAAAATAAAGTTTTGATAATGATTGATTACAATTCAAACTAAAGGATGGAGAAAGAGAATGTTTATAGTTTATGCTGTTGATATCAAGGCTCATATAAAATATATACTTAATTGGTTACTTCTGTTTAAATCAACCTTTAAAATTGGTTCAACTAACTTTTTTTTTCTCAGTTTATAAAGCTTTAGAGTTATTTTTCCTTTGTAATTAATTTCCTATGCAATATGAAAAAAATCTCATTCTCCACCCCGCTAATTGTATTAAAAAAACATAAATTTTAAATAATAACAAAATCCTTTTCATAGAATAATTAGAAAGTGAATTACAAAATTACACTCCTAAAATACCTTCTCAACATATGTTTGGCTCGTGTGTTAGTTTATTAACTTCGAATTTAAGTTGTTGAGTGTCTATGGATAGAGTTTTGTATCTTAAGCTATAGGTTGTTAATTTTATTGACTAGATATGAATCCATATTATATAACCATAGTCTTATAAACCCATAAACGAAAAATATAAGTTCCTTTGCAAGAAAAAGAAATTATGCAAAACGTCGGATCAAATTTTAAGTACTCCACTTACAAACTACGTGAATTTAGATTTTACAATCCCAAAATAAAGAAATTCAAAACCGACCAACAACATGAGTCAACTTTATGTAAACCGACATTATAAATCAATCTAAATATAGTTGAATAATAAATCATCTATATATCTCTTCTTAAAAATCGTAAGATCCAATTGTTTTATAACTATAACCTAAAAAAAAGGTATGTGGCAAAAAAGAGAGTAAATTTTTAATAAAAGAGGTGTTAAAGATTGTACCTACTTGGGCCCCACCCTATGTTGCAAACAATTGAAAGAAAGTCAAAAGTCAAAAGTCAAAGTAGTTTCTAATACGACCAAGAGACAGACACACACCATCTCATCTGAAATGGTCGGTTTTCCAATTTTAACTTTAATGCCCTTGTTAATATTCTCAATTTAAAAGAATAAAAAATAAAAAATTTTAATATAAGAATATGATTCGTTTCGAAGATATTCTCAACCATACACGTGTCCAGATTAAAGCCTTGCAACACAAAAAATTGAAAAAGAGGATATTGTTAAAAATGGGAAAAAATGTAATAATAAAGAAGTGATTTTCTCCCTCCAAAATTAAACCATCTTATCCATGGGTTTCATATATAAAAAATAAGTTTAAATTCTGTTTTCATCTCTACCCTTTTAGATTTATTCTATTTTTAGTCTATAAACTTTAATTATTTGTATGAATTAATACTCTTTCTAGTATTAAATATATTAGTTTAGTACAATAAAGATATTGGAATGAGAATAAAGATATTGGAGCAAGAATTTGAATATCAACATATTTTCTCTTACGATAAAATATATTATAAGTGAGAAGAAAATATTTAAATTTATGACTTAATTATCACATCATATGGTAAAAGAAAAAAAAATAAAGAAAAAAGTAAGAAACAACCCAATTAGGTACATTACATGATGCTTCGATTGCCCACATCCTTATTTTGTAATTCAATTTCAATGAGATTATTAATTGAAATATTAAGAATGAATAAAATTTTTGAAATTATTGAGACGAAAATTTAAAACAAATATGTATATATATTTTCCCCCAAAACTTGTGACCTTTTTACCTGCCTTAGGGAGAGGTGGGCCCAGGCCCACGTGAACTGCTGGGCTTTTAATCTCTGTCGTCATCATGACGTCGAAGTGATGCTAAAAATAAATTTTAAAAGTTAAGAAAAAAGAAATAGAGAAAACGACGCCGTGTAACGGAAAAGGCATTCGAGATTTAGAAAAATTCTCCTATTGGAATGGGGTTATGCTAAGGTGACACGAAATGCTCGAATTCACGTAAGAAGAAAAAATTCAGTACATTAGTACCACGAGAGGACTTTTTTTTTTTTTTTTTTTTTTTTTATTCACACTACAATTTTGTTTTAAAAATATTTTTAATGTTAGTAGATCCTACAATATTTTTAATATCATATTAATGTTTATACTGAAGGGAAGGAATATCCGTATTCATATAGTACTAAAAATTTTCTCATAACGAGATGAGGTGTCAGATCAAGGAGCGAGGGACCACACTCGTATTCGGCTCCGTCAATTGTTGAATTGTTGGAAAAAAGAAAAAGGAAAAAGAAAAAAAAAAGCCATCTTTTGCTAGCCTCCGAAATACCACTTTTTTACAAGTCAACAAAATTTGCTCCCTCTCTTTGACAGCTTTAAATGAGATGTCAACAAAATTCGCCCTCTCCCTCTCTCTTTCATTGAATGGGATTTTTGAATTTTGTTGCAAAT